CAGCCCTGGAGAATGCCCTTGTGACACCCTACCTGGAAGGCTGCATCCAGCTTTGCTCCCCCAATGGACCTCTCAGGACATGTCCAGAGGAGGCCATGAAGATACTCAGAGGGCTGGAGCACCCTTGCTATGACACCTTTGCCTGTTGGGGGAGAGAAGGCTCTGGGAAGACCTTAGAGCACCTTCCAATACCTAAAAGGGCTCCAAGAGGGCTGGAGCGGAGCTTTTGACAAGAGCACAAGTGATAACAGAAGAGGGAATGGCTTCAAACTGGAAGAGGACAGGGTTAGATTAAATATTGGGAAGAAACTCTTCCCTGTGAGGGTGGTGAGGCCCTGGCACAGGTTGTCCAGACAAGCTCTGGATGCCCCCTCCCTGGAAGTGTCCAAGGCTAGGACAGGGCTTGGAGCAATCTGGTCCTGTGCAAAGTGTCCCTGCCCATGGCAGGGGGTTGGAATGAAATGATCTTTGTGGTTCCTTCCAACCTAAACCATTCTTTGAGTCTATAATTTTATCAGTGCTTCTAAGGTGAATCCTAGTTGTGCTGTTCTTTATCACTTTCTTTATTAACCCTCTGCTAATCTAGTTTGAGGTGGTAAGGCAAAAATGAGTAAGTGGCTTCTTAGACCATATATTGTTTCATCTAAATCTTTGTTTTTTCTTCAGGCTCATGATGTCTCCTGTTGTTATTCAAGGAACCATTATTTAGGGCAGAAACTTCACAGCGTAGCTGTGTTTATTTTTGAATTTCCCTTTTATGTAGGTGTCTGCGATCTCTGACATTAAATACATCAGTACCAGCCTTCAGCCATAGTGTATCTTCTGTTCCTTACTCAGCTGCACTTTTGATTCTTGGTGTTTTGTTGTTTTTCCTCCAAACAAGGACTTGGTTTCAAAGCAGAGACCTTTGAGTGTTGTTAAATTGCACACCTGCTAACTCACGTAGCACATGTAGATGTTCAGGAAGCAATTGCTCAGTAAGAGTGTTCTTTCTTTTCAGTCAGTGAATTGATTTGACTCCAGCACCCTGATCATGATTTCACTAACTATGTTTTCTAACCAACTTTGTGCTGCTCCAGCTTTATTGCTGACTGATGTTCTCTGGCCATTCATAACTGGAAGCCTTTCCTGCAAACCTACTTTGTTGGTGGTGGTTTGGAGCAATCCCATTGTTATTGATACAGAGCTGCCAGTGGCTTGATGTGATTGTATGCATTGAAATAACTTTGTTATGCCTCTGAAATGCCTTTTTAAATGCAATATGTCATATAAACAAAGAAGCAGTCAGTGAATGGGGTGCCTCAGATCAATAATAGTGAGGCAAAGATAGTAGACAATCTAAAAAATAGCCTTGTGTTGGTTTTGTCTGTCAAATTGCAACAAAAGTTTTTACTTGTCTCACTTTAATTGATGAAGTTATGCAGAATAATGTAATTGCCTGTTTCTTGTCCTTCAGGCATTACCTCTGTTGGAGTAGGAAAGACTAGCCCTTTCTCTTGGGTCCCTGTGCAGGAGATGACAAAGAAAATGAGAGTGACAGAGAAGTGAGTTGTGTGAGCAGGGTCTGGGAGATGTCAGAGAAGTACATGGAAGACAGATACAAACAGAACCTAGGAGAACACTTCCTCTTTCCCTTCTCTAGGGGTGAGAGGGACTTTGTGCAGTCTGCCCCAAACCAGGAGGCCAATGCCACTCATTGGTGTTGGACAAGGGACAAGACCTGCCCTGTAGGCTTTGGGTGTGAGGATGTGATTGTTTTCCATTATATGAATTTATAATTATAATTTCCAATTATGTAAGTTTATTTTTGTCATTTCTAACCCAGCATAACTCAGGGATTTTTTGTCTCTCAAAACTTGGTTTGTAATGTAATAGGATACAGTTTCAGAAATTCAAAAGCCTTTAGTATGCAAAGTTTAAAGGAGGAGAGATAGGCAGTGTTAGTTCTGTTAATCTCCACAACCACAAGCCTCACTAATTTCCTCTGTAACTTGCAGCTGGAACTTTCTCACCTGCCTGTCACTGATAGAAATCCTTGTTCAGATCATCTGCTCTGGACATTTCTGAATTTAATAATCTTCTTGATTGGTTCCCAGCTTGCCTCTTGCTTCTGCAGTCTGTTTCTGTGCTCCAAATTACATCATATTTTTTATTAGATTTGTTAAATTTGCAAAATTTATTTTGCACTGCATTAAATTTTTATACCTATTTGTATTTCTTCTTTCATTGTCTTTCATAAAACCCTTAGTTTTGTTCTCTCTTTCTTTTCTCTAATTGTTTTTGCTGCCTCCTGTTTCCTTTACTTTCACTTAGGATTTTTCTTTGCTAATTGTCCAAAACTGATGAATTCTCCTCTTTTTTTATAGGCAAAAGGGAAAGCAAAAGATTTTTCATTTATATTTACTTGTGAAAGTGTAAACCAAATGGAGAGGGGTAAAGGGGGAAACCTTCCGTCTTTCCAGTGGAGTGTAGCTGGGAACACTTATGCTGGTCATTGAGGGTGGCTAATTTTCAAAAACACTATTTCATGGAGATGGAAGGGTGCTGAATATGTTCTTTAATTTGGTTGAATGTTTTTCTTGCATTTCAATGCTTGGAGGCTCCAGCAAATTTTGGGAAAGTGAGTCCAATCATAATTTCCTGTGTTGGCTCTCTGAAGTTTAGGGTCTTGGTGCTGAATTGCTGCTTCTGTTCAGGAGATGGGGACAACTCCAGAGATATGGAGAGATTTGAAAATAAAATATTTGTTAGGTATCAAAATTTTAATTTTTGTAAGGTTTCAAGTCTAAATTAGAAGTTCAGTTGCTACAGTGTTCCATGGAGCGTAACTTAAGAGCTACTCTGCAACCCAGTTTAAAATGCAACACACTGTGAACCTGCTTTCTGAAGGCTCAATGTAATTTTTCTGTCAAAGCTTTTATATAAGATGATTGTATTTGGCTTAAAACTGAGATCAGCGGGATTTCTGTGAGTCTGCTGATTTTCTGCTTTCCTCTTACATACATCAAAGCCCTGTCACCCAGCAGCCACTTACAGCACATGCGCTGGGATTTTTGTTAGCTTCAGAATTTAAACATGAAAAAATATTAAGCAGGGAAACTGCAGGGAATGCCCTGAGAAATGCTGCTACAGATGTGGTACTCAGGGATCTGTACTCAATGAATCCAGGTTGTTCCTGGGGTCACATAGCCCTGGATTTGTAGCATTGCCAATACTAGAATAGCGTTTTCTTTAAAGCTATATTTCCGAGAATTATACTTATTGTCACCTTAACTTTTTTTTTTTAATTTACTTTATTGTTTTTATGGTTGAGAACAAGAATTTAAAAATGTGTTTGAAGTGCTTCTTAAAACTAGAACCAAAGAAAAGCAGTTCTTACTCCAAACACTGACTGGTTTTGGGAACAGACTCATGACTCTGCCTGTTAGGGTTGTGTAACTTGGTTGGGATGTGTGTAAAGAGCAGGGCCCTGACCGGTTTATAGCCATTCACTCTATGTGGGATTTTTAGTGAACAAATGCTGGGAATAACTAAAGTTCTTGTTCCAGTATCTCTGACAATTTTCACTGAATTTACATTTTCTCCCACAGCCTTTCTAATAGCCAAATACAGCATTACAGAACAATTTTATATGGCTCACATGGTGGTTTATATTATAGTCTGCTCAGGAGCTAGATAATGTTCTTGCTCAATGATACCAATTCTCCTTTCAGAATTTTGTTGGTACTTCAAAACCTGAGGTAGATTAGCTCAACTCTGTAGGTAGGTACCCTGTAGGTATCAGCTGTTTGTGTTATTTTTTTTCTTCTTCAGTTAGGTTTCTGTTCTTCACAGATATGACTGTAACAGTAAAAGGCTTTAATTTATCTGTTTAAAAGTGCTTTGTACTATATTTAGCTTACCTTCTTGGTGTAAGCAAGTTATCTTTAACTGCTACTCAGGTAATGCAGCTTCTCAAAGTACATAAAATGACAACCTTCTATGGTGTAATAAATCATGCATTAGTCAGAATCAAGTTACTTTTGAATTACCAGGAAAAGTGCTTGTGGAATGCTCTGAAATTCTCATATAACTTGTAGGGTCTCTCTTTCTCGTTATTAAATATTTTTAAATATTTTTAAAATACTTTAAAATATTTTAAATATTTTTAAATATTTAAATTAATAAAATTTAATTTTAAATTAGAAGCAAGTACTTGGAGAATAGCAGACATCTCTGTATCTTAACTTATTGGGATTGTTTGGAAAATAGCAGGCAGACATCTCAACATGTTTTTATGGTTTTTTGAGAATGACAAGTCCCATTTCACCACTTGTATTAAACAGACTTGTGACTCTCTGGATATTGGCCTGCATTCTGTAGTCGCTGGTCAGAGAAATATGCTGAAATGGAAGGTGGAAGCAAATCCTTTAGAGGATTCTGAGCAGCTCCCACAGACATGGAACCACACTGGCTGAATCTCTTGCTGCAGGTTTTATTACAGAACACTGTCTTATATTACCTGCTTCCTAAAAGTCTTTTAAAACCTCTAAGAGAGAGAGTTCTTCATGTATGAGATAAAGGGACCTAAAGTATTTTGTGTTTGCATTCTAGCTGTTCTGCAAATGAAAGATAAGAAAGTTTCTCACTCTTTTGGGCAATGACACAATCACTCTTGTCTTTCCATCATTGCTCCTAATTATTATTTATTATAAATATAACTGCAGAATTGCAAATTACTGCTCCGTCTCAGTGGGATTTAGAGTTAATCCTAAATTGCTGGTTTTTGAAGCCATTTAATTGGAATCTGAGCAAGGGAAGTGCTGGCCTTGATCACCTCCTGTGATACTGCCACTCCAGTGGATGGTGGCTTTTACTTGATGTTACCTGGCTTTGACACTTCTTCACACAGTGTTGCTGTGTTGGGATGCCACAGGCTGGCTGGGTGGGCCCCAGGAGGGTGGTGGTGGTATCTGCTCCCCAGACAGAGGTGAGCAGATGGTTCCTTTGCTGTTTTGCAGGCAAGAACTGGGACCTGACAGCAGCTTTGAATGACTATGAGCAGCTGCGGCAGGTGCACACGGCCAACCTGCCCCAGGTGTTCAACGAGGGCAGGTTTTACAAGCAGCAGGAACCAGAACAGCCTCCCCAGGTGACCAAGGCTGAGAGACCCTGCCTGCAAAGGCAGGATGACATCGCCCAAGGTAAGAGCTCCTCTGCAGGGTTTCAGGGAACAGGTGGGTCTCTAACCTGTCTGCTTGGGAGCTGTGCCATTGTCACGGGCTCAGAGCTGCTGCTAGACCCTATTTTTCATGTTTTGGGGGTTGTGAGCTCTGCCTCAGTTCTGCAAGCTGTTATTTTTTTATATGTGATTAAAGTAAAATATGCTGTCCCCAAGCAGTCCTGCAGTACTCATGAAAGGAGTTAATTAGAGGGTGTCACAGACCACTCTTGTATATAGCTTTCTATGCTTATTGAAGCAAACAAAAAGGTTTAAAAATCCATATTTCACTCTTTGCAGTCTTACAGTGTGTGAATAGGGTGTATGAAGGCTATGAATAACTTTCAGCTTTAAAATTTCATTCTTTTATGGTTCAACAGAAACTGCCTTCTATCCCCTGCTGAATAGAAATTGAAACCTTAAGAAAAATTACGTACCTAACTCTAACAGTTAATTTCTAGTACAAGATGATATGCATTAGAATTTAATTCTTTCTTTGCAGACCTCATATGGGTTCTATTTCAGATCTCTCTCTCTTGCTGACTGTTGGGTTGCAATTTTTTTTCTATGAATTTCTCAAGAAGCTGTAGTTTCCCCAGAATAAATCTGCATGTCTGACAGCTTGTCATGTAGCCAGGTAATAGCAGTAGTTTGGTGATGGCTTTCTCTACAGCCCTTAAAAGGAACAGAAGGGCTTCCCTTCTCCTGCTGACTCTTCCCTCCTATTAAGCAGGAAATAGAATCAGTACTTAGGAGTTTCAGTAAAGCTTTTTAGAAATTGCTGACTTCCATCAGAAGAAAAGGAAGTGTGGTGCTTCTTCTGACTCCTTAAAGCACTGAATACAAATAAAGGGAGGAAGAGCAGCACAGTTTATAAAACCATGTCCTTTCAGCCTCTTTGGGATACAGTTTGTACTGAAATGTCCATCTGATGCTTAGTGGGTGCAGTAGGTAGTGTGGGGTATGTCTGGCTTTGACCACCAGGACTGGAAGGAATTTGGCAGCCGACTCAGTGTGTAGCTGAGGATCTCCTGGTCAGAGAGCCACCTCTGACTGACAGGTGGACCTAGGGGTGTTCAGGGAGGAGCAGAGAAGGGAAAGGAGCACCTTGGTTTGCACCAAGGAGTTGGAGGATGCAGCCAGCAGGGGAGGGCTGGGCTGTGCTGGGGAGGGGTGATGGAGTGGCACTGGGGATGTCACATGGAAGTGCTGCCCTGCACTTCTGTGCTCCTGCTTAGGGGATTTAGCTGAGACGTACAGGGGGAGGAAACAAATGCAAAATCAAACCTTCTACACTCTCCCTCAATTTAGGATAATTTAGGGAGTGCAATTTAACTCTCAAAATTAGAAAGACTTTGATCCATTAGAGAAACAAAAGTTCACAAACTGCAAGAAAGTTAATTTTAAATAACCATTAGTCAGTTTGAGATGTCTTAAATACACTATTAGTGATAAGTTTTGTTAAACTAAGCTTTAATTAGGAGCTCAAAACATGAACTGATCTGTCAATATAATTTTTCTTCCATTGAATCTTTGAAAACCTAAGATACATCAAGATAAAATTTTATAGGAATATTTGTCTCTCATATTTTGTTACTTTTACTGTGGGTCTGTTTTGCTAGAAGGAGAGTCAAGTTCCTCTGGCTTGACAGAGGGATCTGTAATAGGAACAAGCAATATTTTGCAGTAGGGAGATAACCTGAAAAAGGCAGCAAACAAGATGTGGAATAAATTCCTAGTGAAATCAACCTGCATTCACCAGCCTTGGCATTGCCAGTCTTTTATGCAGTGGTACCAGTCTAACTTCTCTTTGGTTCCTCTACAGAAAAGCGTCTTTCCAGAGGAATTTCCCATGCCAGCTCAGCCATAGTCTCCCTTGCTCGCTCACATGTAGCAAACGACTGCAGCAATGAGCAGTTCCCTTTGGAGATGCCTATCTACACATTCCAGCTGCCAGACCTGAGCGTGTACAGCGAGGACTTCAGGAGCTTCATCGAACGGGACTTAATCGAGCAGGCCACCATGGTTGCATTGGAGCAAGCAGGTGGGTGACACCTCAGGTGTCTGTCAGAGGCTGGGTGACACCATGGCTGCCAGTAGGTAGCCAATACAACATCTGAGTGGCATTTCTAATCCTGCTTCGTGTTTGGAGCTTGCACATCCTGCCTGGGAAATAAAAACCAGAGAGTAAAAGCAACTACTGTGTTCTTTGACAAATGACACATATCCCAATCCTCTGTTTCTTTTAAAACCTTACAGAAAAACCACCAAATTTAGTTAATAAAACAAAGAAATTGAGAAAGGAAGGAAAGGAGTGATGAGGAAGACATTTAAAAGACAAGGACAGGAGTCTGGATGGTCAGAGGGGATTGGTACTTTCAGTTCTCATGAGAAAATTACATTGCAGTGACTGTGAAAGGAAATATCTTCAAATTCTGCTGCAGCTTGAGAAAATAGTTTCTAGATATGTATTTTATATATTTATTATTTCTTAAAATGAGAAACTACATAATTTTAAAGTAATACTTCAGTATTGCCATGGGGAAAAAAAGTGTAAATATTTAAAATTAATGTTAATTCACATCTATTAGTAGTTTAAAGTTGTAAGCCAATTTTGAAGGATATGGAGGAATCTATTTAAAATTAGTATTGGTCCCTTACGAAACAGAAGGAGTGTTAATGAACCATGAAATGAACGCATCTATATAGTGAAATGCCCAACCCTGGTGATATAAAAGAGTCGTAAAATCAGATTTCATGGTTGCTTGTGGGATATGGAAGTTGCTTTTTTTGTGTGTGTGTATTGCTCTGCTGGTTTGTGTAACACTTGGGGTTGATCATTTTCCAGCCCTGGTGCCCTGTGTGAGCCCAAACTGATAAAGTGCACCTCTGATTTGAGGCCGGATCTGGTGTCCCACTAAGTACTTATGAGGTGTTGTCGTGTGCTCTTTATTGGCTTTGGTAATTGAAAAGCCAGACAGATAATAGCCTCAAACAGCACATACTTAAGGAAAAAGAAACAAAACCTACAACCAACCAAAAGAACCCCAAGCAGTGCTCAGGAGGCCTTTTTCTGGGAGAAATAGCAGTGTAGAAATAAGGTAGGAATGCTACCGGGCAGCTATGAAGCATCAAAACTGCAAGTCACCCATCAAGAAATATATCCAATTTTTCTAAGAACTAGCTAACCCAAGGAGGACAGGGAAAAAGTAGGATGATTCTTCCTCTGGCAGCTCTGCCAAACCCTCCAAATTCCATAAGAATATCAGAAGATAACTTGGTACAGTACCATTGTTGACCTACCTGCTTCAGTGCAATTACAGCCTTTACATTCTAATATGAACTAGAGGATCACAGAGGCTTTCTGACCTTAAAATCAGAGAATATGTGAATTTAGAGCTGACATCCTCTAATCCATACAGAGCTAGCTGGCTTTGAACTTGAAATGGCTGCAGAAACTACTGAATTTGCTGCCTCTTAGCATTCCTCTCTCAAATCTCTCTGAAAATTAGAATAAATAATTTATTCTTTTTGCACATTAATTAGGGCAGTAACTTGACACACACTGGAAAAGTGCCTTCATTCCCAGAGCCTCTTGCATCCTGGAAAGGAGAAGATTTTACCATTTGGAATACTTAGGGTTTTGATCACAGGTTTCCTTGTAGCCTTACATAGACTTAGTTTACTTTGTGAGCATTTCATTCAAATAATCTGGAACTTCTTTATTTCTGTATTTCAAGTAAGTTAAACAGATCAAACAGTTTGCTTAAAAAATCATGTAAGGCTTCATAGAAAACAAACCTCTTCTCTGTTTTAGATGTCAAGATATTCAGTTTGCTGCCTATTTTATTTGTTGTACAAAATTAAGAGAGTGAATTAATAGGAAAGCCACAGAGTACTAGATATTTTATTGTCTCCTACCAACAGTTTGACTATGGTTTGGTCAATGACATGAAAAAACCTAAAAGATGAGGTGCATTCTCTGCAAAGAGCCTAAAATCTATTTCAAACCAAGTTCCATGAAGGACAGTAGCTTTTGAACTGAGGCTGGGGATGTTAAAGGAAGAGGTGAGTGTGCTTGGGTATAATGCCATGAATTTCAAGAGAAAATAAATAGGAAAGAAGCTGATTAGGCAAAAGGAGGAGGAAATTTGCTAGGAACTAACAGCTTACTACTCCCAAAGCCTGGACTGGGAGAGCAGAATTGCCTCTAACAGTGTCACATGGGGGTTCTGAAGTGATGATATGAGCTGTGTATCTATAAAAGCCTGTAAAGTTTTTATGTTCTTTTTTTATATGCTTTAACTCTTGCTACCTTGACATCCCTATATGACAGTATATCCTGGTTGCATCCTATCTGTATGGAAATTCAGAACAAAATTCCCAATTTACTGCAAAGTGCTCTGTGAGATGATAAAGGAAAGGCCCAGAGAAAGGCAGTGTGATTTACTTACTCCCTACTACTGCAGTGTATTATTTACTCCTTAATATGATTGTTTTCTAAATATTCTTCTGAAAGGATAGAATGCATTACATTCACAAAAACACTTTGAGGTTTTGTCCCTCTTGTTACCTCAGCTGTTGATTATTGCCAGAACTGGAGTGAGGTCAGCTTTGTGAGTAACAGGCAGACTGACCTCTGTGAGCTCTGGCAGTAATTCATGTGGTTCTTCAATAGAGGATGGCCCAAGGTACTGATAATATTAAATGAAGTCTGTGTGAAAGCAATTTTATAATTCTAAATATTTTGCTGCAGCAAGTTGATTTTCATTATAGACACATGCTCCCCTGTGTGTTGTTAATGTGTGGGTTGACACAAAGAGAGATATAATGAAAACTGCTGTGCTGAAGTACTATGTTTTTAAAAAACAGTACAGGCAGAGGAATGGCTGGTGTAACACAGTGTTTTGAACTGATGGAAAACCCAATTCTATTGCAGTGCTGAAATATAATTCAATACAAATAGTACAAGTATACTGTATGAAAGTCCAAGAACTGTTTTCCTACGCTTTTGTTTCTGTGCTCATGTTTGTGTTTTCTAAGAAGCATTTTATACAGCTACAGCCAAAGTTAACAATAATATGCTGTTAAGCCTGGGCTTCATGTCCCAAAATTGTGGAAATGTTTGATCTCAGTTTTCATTTAAGCTCAATTTTCCTCTTTTTTTTCCCTAAAGGGACCCACTATAACCCCTAGATTTGAAAAATGAAAATGCACCACTTTTTTGTAATAATCCAATAATAAACCCATATCTGGTATTTTTTTTTTGGTCAGCCATAAGCTTTGTAATATTAACCAAGTCCCCAAATGCTTTTTGTTGAATGCACTTGATGGAAGATTACTTTTATAGAAACCTCCTATTACTCAAAAGATTCGTAAACACCAGACTTTGGCATTTCTTACCAATAGATGTAAGTTAATCTGCAAAGCAATGCCACTCATATTTCCTTAAGTCCTACCTAAGGTCTGTCTGGCTTCAGGTCTTCTAACTCTGCTTTATGCAGCACCTTGGTGTAACTTATTGCTGAATATGATTCCACCAAAACATTATGCTAAAAATGGTGGCAAGTTGTTATTTCACAGATGCAGGAGTTGTTAAAAATGATCTAGTTTTCCTTTCCAAAGGATGTCTAATAGTGCTTTAAATTAAGTTTCTTTATTGCATATTTAATTTAGAACTCAATAAGCCTTTGTGCATTCACAAGGCAGCTGCTAAAATCATTTGAGGATTACCAGATGTGCTTATTGATCTGCTATGCATCTTTACAGTGTGGTACTTTTAATCCATTCTGACTAATTGCAATTTAAATCCATAGTTCTAAGTACCCAGAATAAATAACTGGGCTACATAAAAAGTATTGCTACACTATTTTTCCCCTAATGTGTATTACCTGTAGTTACAAATAAACTTCAATATAATTTTGCAATGAAAACTTCATAATGGAGAGACATTTATATGTTGTTTGAACTTCCTTCTGTTTTGGGGTTTAACATTAAGTGCAGAACTGCCCGTACAAATACATAAATTCTATTTCCTCCCAGCTTCCCAGTCAAGAAAATGGGGGAGAAAAAGTCTGTCTATTGCATTATTCATTCAATTATTCATTTGTGCATTACCCACAGACCTGCCAAGTCTTTGGAAATGTACCAGCTCTACTCATCCCTGTTAATCATCTGCTCTTTCTCATCCCCAGAGATGTTATACAATTAGCCCCACTTGCTTTCTTTCTACTAGAGGTACTCACATGACCTTTTAACCAAGACTCAGCACTCCAGTTTGCTACCGCATGGCAACCTGTGTACCAGGAATTACCTACCTTTAGTGTGGGCTTGGGCAATGAGTCTTCTTGACTTACTGCTTCATTGAATATCTGTCCTTTGGCCAGACTTTTCCAGTACCCATCTCTGGTTTATAATCTGTAAAACATGCTTCTGTCATAGCAATGGTAGATAAGTGATTCTCTAAGTATTCCCAAAAGAGAAAGGTCACATTCTATACTACGCCTCAGGCTATGCTTTGGTGTCATTTTAATTTTCTGGTAGTGTAGCTGTTGGTTTTAGTAGATCTAATAATGATTTATACTATGGGAAATGAGAGGAGAATCAGCTGTTGAAACAATGCATCTGACTGAAATAATTTACTTAATAAACTTACCCTTATAGTAACATATCTTGATTACCATACATATTACTTTTGTCTTTTGACAAAAGAAAATTCCTTTATTACCTTAATATAATCTGTCATGTGTGTGGGGGAGGCCAATGTCAATTATGTTTAGGAGCTGACAGCAAGGTTCATAATGGTATTAAGGCAATAAACTCCTTGGAAATCCATCCCTGGATGCAGCATATAAGACTGGAAGATGCAAATTAATTAAAGGTGCTCTTTTCTAGATCCATGTAGAGAATAGTTTATCTGCCTAATTTCTTATCTTTTCAGTTTTGACTTTATTTTTAAGCTCATTTGGTAAAGAGGATGTTCATGGTTGCCCCTCTTGCCCTAACCGCTAACCCTTTCCAGGACGCCTCAACTGGTGGTCCACGGTGTGTACAAGCTGCAAGCGCTTGCTGCCCCTGGCGACAACGGGTGATGGAAACTGCCTCCTGCATGCTGCCTCTCTAGGTAAGGGACAGTGTGGGTAGGAAACCTGCCAGAAATATTCACTGCTCTCCTCTAGCCCCAGCCAAAGATCAGAAACATGTGAGATGCAAAGATTTGCATTAAAAGTCTGATTCTGGAGCAATATGTCCATCACATTTTACTGTAGTATTTACCTCAAGCATGCCTAAAGCAGGAAAGGAAAAGATTTCTCAGGATATAAAAGTATAACCAGAACAGTATCCAAACCCATGTATCACAAATACCAGTGATCTGTATTTTCCTTATATTTACCGTGTTGCTTGCCTAACAGGTCTGGAACAGGCAAATTCCAGGTGCTACTGCAGGATTGTTCCCATTATGTGCAAGGAATTTCATTCATTCTCTTGATTTTCTTCTAACAGTTGAGCAAATTGTTTCAAGACTATAATGTCAAGCTATTATCTCTGTTAGTTCCCTGTAGAGTTTAAGCATATGTGAAACAGTACTTGGGGTGAATTAAAATAATTTCCAATTGATAAATTAATTGTTTATGCAAGATTTTTAAGCCTTTCTGCAAATCAGCAGAAACTTGTGAAGCTGAAGGTCTTTGATGTGCTTTCTACATCCTAACCTATTATGAGGAAAGTTAGATTTTTTGTGATTGCCAAAATCTTCCACCAAAAGTACCACAAAGAGTGTCTTTTTAAAAACACTGGGATTTTTAATATTTTGAAGAGACTCCTTCTATTGAAAGACGTAGTAAGAAAAGAGGTTTTGCTGTTTCCAAGGATTCTTTTATTTTTGTCTGCTTCATTTTGTATGTTAATTACTGCAAATGTCTGGAGAATTTTGACCTGAAATCAGCAGCTGAAACACAGCTGTCTGTAGGCACAGGACTGGGGACAGCTCTGCTTTCTTTACTATTCCAAATCATATAAAGAAGTTTCATTATCTTAAAATTAACTTGAAAGCCTGTGGCTGATTGTATTTTTAGTCTTTCTATCATCTTGAATGCATGTCTCTTCATTTGGGTGTTGAAGCCGAAGGAAATTTCCTGCTGTGGAAGAGCTGGAGCCTTTGGGGGCCAGCACTGTCCATAATTCTGCGAGGTGCCTGCAGTGCTCATTAACATCCTTGTGCCTGCTGGCAGCTGCAGCTAAAACCAACCTGTGCACTGAATATTCCATGGCTTGGAGCAAAGTTGGAGTTGCATGCAAGCAAACACTGAACCAGCTCAAATCCTTGGTCGTTCCTTAGTCAAAGTTTAAAATGTGTTAGAACTCCCTCTTGCTGTTCATCAGCTTATCTGCAGCAACTCTTTCTTTTGGAAACCTTAAAAATAGTGAGTGAATAATTTGCTAGGGAGAATCTTCAATTATGTATTAGCTATTTCTATTTCACTGTAGCTTCTTTAAAACTGGATGTCATCTTGTGCTGCCTTAGGGATGTGGGGATTTCACGACCGGGACCTTGTGTTACGGAAAGCCCTCTATACTATGATGAGAAGTGGAGCTGAAAGGGAAGCACTGAAAAGAAGATGGAGATGGCAACAGACTCAGCAGAATAAGGAGGTCTGTATGGCCCAAAGACAGCCTTGTTAATATAATTTAGGGTTAAAAGCATTCTTCTGAAGTTTGCTGTGAAAGTTTTAATTGCTATCAAATTCTTTGTGCTGCCATTTTGTATGGAAGGAGATATTTATATTTGAAATTTTCATACCAGAATGCAAATGTGTGTGTAGCTTTGTGGGTGTAACTATGCAGAATTTTGTGCCTAAAAGGTCTAAGATTCATTTTGAACCTGTAGAAAATTAAATGTGTAATTTAGCTATCAAAAGCATTTTAAAATGAGTGGATGAAATCCACAGAAGAGAGAGAACTCCATTTAGGAAAGATTTCCCAGAATCATGAAATAGGATTTTTAAAGCTGTGGCCAAATATTGAGTGGAAGTGTTCTAACTGAAATAATTTGTAAATTTGGTTTGACTTTTGATTACAAGCTGTACCTTCAGCATGTTACTATTTCCTGAAGATGTCTGTGCCTAAGCAGTAGCTAGAAAACCCAATTTCAGGACTAATCCTGAAGGCAAACAAGTGAATGTGCTAACTCTAGAGTTGGTATTTTAGATATTTTTAATAATTTAATATTCTTTCACCTGAATAGAAATGTTGAACTACTAATGGTCCAAGATACCGAACTGAGTCCTGTGTGAAACACTAGTTGTAAACAGTGCCACAGAGCTGTGCTTACACTGTGTGTCAGCAGACTGTGACAGCATTTCCCTCTGCCCCATAGTCAGGTTTGGTATACACAGAAGAGGAGTGGGAGCGTGAGTGGAACGAGCTGCTCAAGCTGGCGTCGAGCGAGCCGCGCACGCATTTCAGCAAGAACGGGGGCACTGGTGGAGGGTAAGTTCAGAGTGTGGCAGAACCTCTGGGGCTTTATTCTCAGCAGGAAAACAACACAGCACAACTGAGTGAAGGTGTTCATAGCACCACCAGACTGCCTTCCCAACTGTTTACTCTTTTGGCATAATTATCTAATGGCAGAATTATCTAAATTTCCTATTATAATATTTAGCATTTTTGTGTTGTTTTCTTGTACAGTTACCACACTAACTTGAGGTTATTTTGTATCCAAAGGAGTCTTGGTTTAATAAATCCTAATTGCTTTGCTTGTGGAACAAGCATATTGGCAGTATCACTTAGCTTTTTTTCAGGAATATATTTGTGAAAAGGTTAGGGATGAAACCGTACCTACAATATTTAAATACCCCTGACCCACATATAGAATCTACTTTAAATAGCCACTGCGATAAAACCCTCGCTTCCAGTGCAGTTATCCCCAAAGGAGAGGATTATTGACCAGTCTTCAGAATGCAGAAGCATTAGCATTTGTGTCTAGTGTTTATCACTAAAAATATTTATTGTTTGCTCAGTGCATTATTTTCTCTACCTGCTGTTTCCCCTGGAGAAAATCAAGTGTGGTGATAAGTAAACTGACAAAATAAGGCATACAGTACAATTAGAGTAACAAAGTTCGTAGAAAATATTCTTTGGGCTCTGAAAGAATATTTTATTTTCCCTTTAACCTTGTGGTTTTAAGGATAGGTAATTCTAGGAATTCCAGAGGACTTTGTTTAAAAAATTGTCAGCCACAGTCTGTCTCATTTTCTTCTGTTCTGAAGTAAAAAAAAAAATAAAAAAATTTATTCTCATTTTAATTCCTAGTTTGTTTTCTGTATTTGTAGATATTTTTCTCTTGCTAAGTTTCAGTTTTCTAATTCAGTTCAGTTCATATTTCTATTAAATCTGGTCATTCAGCTCAAATTTTCTCTGACTTGTTCCACTTCATTCTGTATGTTCTATGTACCACATGTTTTCAGTACCTTCTAGTCAGAGATGCCCTCAAATGTTATCTTTGCCAGGCAGTCAACCTTCACCAGGTACCTACATAGGGAGAAGTACTAGTACACAAATAACCTTTTCATCATGGTTTGCATTTATCTTTTTTCCAGTCAAAATAAAGTAAATACAAATAGCCAACAGTTAATTTTTCCTTTGAAATAATGGAATATGAATCAGGTAAGAAACTTATCCTATTCAAGATGTGAATGAATACTTCTCTTTACATTCATTCCAAAGACAGAATGAATGTGACAGAATGAATTATTTTTTCTGTTTAATGAGCCCATGTTCAAAGTAGGGCCCTTGACAAGGAAAAGGAATATCAAAATAGTATTTTTGAGATAGGGTATATTATGTCCTCTAGATAGATGCTATATTAAGCAGGCTTGCACATCAGTCTTTGAACTGTAGATGAAATGTTTTCCTTTGGTGTCAGAATTAGCTGAAGCATCAGAAGTTGTATCTGCTTCAAAAGAGTTCAGTGACAAACCTAAGGCTGGAATTGTGCTGCCTCATTCACACCTGCAAATTTCTGTTAGTTATTTTTCAGAGTTATCTGTATGCAAAGGGGATCAACAATTGTTGCTAAACTTTGAAAGATTTCTCCTTTGAGGGCACTCATTCTGAGACTGGGAAGCTAGAAAAAGAGAAAAAGGAAACACAGAAAAACCTGGTTATTAAGCTCATGTTTCCAGCATGTAAAGCAGAGCAAATTTATGAAACAAATTCTTGTTTTGAAACAGATTTGCACATCTTCCTGTAAATGTAAAAAATTAATTCTAGATTAACAAAATTGCTTCATTTATTGCAAAAGCAGGGGCTTTTGCTTGTAAATGGATTGAAGGAACTGCACTGAAAAAAGGAAAATGTCTGGTACCCTGTTTTTTGTTAAGAACCTAAATATTGCCATCCTACTCAAAAGAAAATTCCAACCCCTTCCTTCACTGTGCAATTGCAGAGCCTCTTCTCATCTGAGTGTGAATATCACTGTTGTTATTCACTGTTGAAAACCCAGGTGCTGTCATGGTTTGAGCTCATACAGACATCTGGAAGTGGATGGTATTTGTACTTACTATCACCTCCTAGCTGTGTCTGTGCTGTTGAAGTTTTCTTATTAATAAATTCAAGGGATTCAAAATGGGGAAGAAGGGAGGGAATACTGCTGTAATCTTCCTGTGTGTTGTTGGCAGAAACCAAGAAGACCTAAGCAGGAAGTACCTCCCAAATGCAAGTGTCTTCTGAGGTTTTGAACTTGGTTTGATATTCAGGGTGCTTCAACATCAGCTCTCCAGGCACAACTCCTGCAGCCATGCAAGACCCTCACCTTGTACAGAATTTAGTTTAGACCATTTAACAAGACATTGCCCCAAAATTATTTCTATTTGATCTAGTGTCTGTTACAGGAGTGCTATTTCTTTCAAACTGTTCAGTGTATGCAGCAATTATAGGGTGCAAATAGAAATAGTTCATTTTTATTGATAATAAAAATAATAATCATATTTATTGATTATTAGCTGTAGTTTCTAAAGGCTAATACCTCTTTTTATCTGGCTTATTTTCAGTTCACATAAAGTACTGAAGCCAAGCACAACCAAATTGCTGTGGTGATTCAGATATGGAACCCAAAGCATTCACATTCTGTGTTTCCTTTCCTTTAGTCAATTCAATGTACCTTTTTTCCTTGAAGAATGACAGAATGTTCCACTACTGTGCAATTTTCTGTGTTTGAACTGAAGCCCATTGCTGACAAACGCTGTAAGGAAATCAAAGGAGAGGTTCCTACACCTACAGCGGAAGCTGTGGTTTGTGCCAGTTTTCATTTGGGGATTGTTAAGCAGGAAAAGAAAGGTGTCAGAAACGGAATGGAGTCAAACTGAGCTCTGAACTGAGACTTCATTCTGATCACCTGCTTCTGTCAAATCACCAGGTTGAACTTTATCCCTGTCATTGGTCTCTTGTTCTCTGTGAATCCCAAAACAGGCCCTAAACTCAGAATGGCTGTTAGAGTCTGTTGGACTGAAAATCTGGAGCTGTGTGTGGGGAAGGAAAGCAAGGTTACCATAGGGAGCTGTTAGAAGGAAATCCAAGGGCATGAGAACAGATCTTGCTCAGTTTACAGCCGAGAGAGCAGCAGCCAGCCAGGTGGAACAGGAGGGTAGGTGACTTTTCCCTTCCAGCTTTTTGAAAGAGGTTGTTCTTTCATTCCTGACTGCAGTACAAATTGGATTTTCCATAAGAGAGGGAGTCTCTTTGGCCTGATGAAAAGGTGTCTGCTGTGTTTGGACTGGAGGTACCAGTGGTCCTGTAGGTCAGGCTGAGATTTTTATTTTAATTTGTTTTTGTTTTTATTAGTAATTTGCTCTTAGAATCGAGATAATTTATTTCATCCGAATGCTCTGGTTGAGCAAGATTCTGCAATGCAAATATACATGCTCTTATATAAGTGGATTTCATTATTTAAAGTTAGCTTTACATGAACAGAGGAATTAATTTCAGTTTCTTAAATTTTTTTTGCTTCCATGTTCTATCAACAAAATTATTTTGTCCACAATTTTCATGGTCGTGTAGCCAGCATGCATAAAAGATCCCTGAAAAAAAATTGAATGATCAGTGGATCAAAGGATGTGGCAGGTTGCTATGGATACTTGTTAATGATGATTTTTCATTCTCATTAATCTTTAGGAAAATTCATACTGAATCCTCAGCAAGTGGCACTGAAATAATATAAAACATGCCAAATGAATTATTGGCAGTGATGACTGAAAATTGAGCATTGAAAAGGCTTTCCAGAGAGGCTGTGAACTCTTTCTCCTTGGAGGTACCCAAAGGCTGTCTGGACACAGTCCAGGGCTTTGGATGGCCCTGATGGAGCAGGGGTTGAATAAGGGGTTCACTAGAGCTCCACTATGACCTGAGCCACTGATCCTGTGGCAGTGAACAGTGGAATGTGTAATAGCAGAGAAGGGTTTGAAATGTGTGGATATGATCAGAGATAGTGAATCAAGCAATGTGGGGATGTGGTATTGAAGAGGAGAAAAGCTCAGTTGAATTTTGGACTTTGTGCAGTCAGGCATGGCAACAGCTGATCAAAGGGATAGAGGTCCCCTCTGATACAGCTGTATCTGGAATATGCTTTTCACTTCTAGAAACCTCATTGAGTAGGAGATGAGGAATAATTAGAGGATTTGAAGGAAAAAATTAGGACTGATAGGCTGGAAATACTAATGTGAGAAAATAGCTGGAAATCTTTCTGGTATATTGTCTGATGATTCCCCTGAGTTGCTTTTGGCTGAGAGATTACTCTGAGGTGACAGAAAGGACTGCAAATGCTGAAAAACTGTCACAGTCAGCAGTGGAGAAGAATTCAGTAGGGAATAGGGGAAGAAATTGAAAAATGGGAAATCTGGTTTGAACGTCAAGAAAAATTTCTTGATTAAATTTCCTGGGTAGCAGGAGGAGGGATCCAAGGAAGGAGAGATATTCCACTGCTTGACCAGTGAATGTCCTGCACCAACCTACTGGTGATCCTTTCCACCCTCCTGTGCTGCTTGGCTGGGATGAAAGATTTTAAAGTGAAGTTCCAGGGATAGGCTGGATGCTGTCAGACCTCTGAGAGGTTGCTGTGTTTGTCCCACACACTCTGGAGCAGTGTCCAGACACTTCTGCTCTGTTACTGTTCTTCACATACACAGAAAATCAACCACAGTCAGTTCTGGAGGTTCCCTGCACAGCTGGCAGGAAGAAGACAGGTGCTTGTCTCCATTTAAAAGTGTGTCTGTGTCACCTTGCCCACCTTTATTTGGGTGTATTATATTCTTAAGTGGCATTCAGCAGTGAATGATCATCTTTACTTTTGTCTGCTTCCCACAACCCTACAATTTTTCAGTCTTCCTCCATCTAGTTGGTTTTTGTTTTCCAGGCAGGGGCAAAGCTTTGAAATGTGGTGCTGACAACAATGACATTAAATTGGGAAAACAAAAAGGGGATAGCTGAAAGCAAAAATTCATTAAATCGTTTATGCAGTCATAGAAGGGCTTGGAAGTGGTCAGCTAGAGAGCTGGGGACTTTAACAGGTTTATTCATGCAGTTCAGATAAAAGAATGACCTGTTTGGTAGAAAATTGTCTTTCTAGGTTGGCTTCTAAAGGTATTGGGCATTTCCATCTCCTGGAAGATTGATGGGCTGATATAAAGCATAGAGATACTAGTTGGATAAGTTGGGTTTTTTTTAAATGCTGCTATTATTTTACTTACAAAAGTACATTTCCCTTTCCATTTCTTTTTACCGTCTTCCATGATTGAAATATGAGTTTAGAAGAGTGGGGATATAAGAGACAGTAAAGAAGAAACAGCTGCTGGGGTGTGTTGATCCACCAGAGTTTCATTCATGGTTGGTTCAAGCTGGTTCATAAAGTCTTCATCCTGTGTCTTCTAGAGTGGACAATGCAGAAGATCCAGTGTATGAGAGCTTGGAAGAATTCCATGTTTTTGTCTTAGCCCATATCTTGAGAAGACCAATTGTTGTAGTAGCAGACACGATGTTACGAGACTCAGGGGGAGAAGGTAAGAGCTTTTATTAGAGATCCTTGCACCTCTCTAAATCGAATCAGCTGGAAACTGACACCAGCAAAAGACCCAGCTGTAACATATCAGTGTTTATGGCAGAACTGATGTCTTTTCCTGAAAGAGAAAAAAAAAAGGGAAAACACAGAACAATGCTCAGTCCATTTCTATTAGATAAAAAAGTACAAGATAATTATATAAGCCTTGCTGAAAACCTCTTTATCCTAGATATTCGTAATTAATGATTCCACTGATAACCACCAAATTACAGAATACATTTCTGACTGGTCTAAATGAATAAAGCTCTAATTTTGCCATGTTATTTAGATGCCCCTTAAAACTCTGAAGAAATCAATCTAATCTGACTTTGAAAAATTGAATTTTAAATGTATGTATCTTGGATTTTTGTTTTTAATGACTCCTTTGCAGCTTCTCACTCAAAAGTTTCTACAATGTTTTATTCAGTTTGCACATACGAGCACACAAATGTTAGATCTGTATGTGGAGCTAGCTGGACACTCTCTGAGCAGAACTCAGAGCATTAAATTCATGTCACTTCTTACCATGAACAAACAGAATTCTAATTCATGATAGGGTATTAATTAAAGGGGGATGTTTGTCTGATTAAAGGAGGATGTTAAGCAGGTGATGATGGAGTTTACAGAAATTTACTTCCCCAGGAAAATACGGCATAATTTCAGTTTCCATTGCAAATGACGAACTACAAGTAATGGTTGTAGATTATTCTGTAGGTTATTGAAAAACATACCTGAAAGACAGTGCAGTCATTGGTCACAGCCAGAATGAGGGGTTCATGAGGGGAACTGATCTTGCAAATATTTCAGCAATAAAGTCTCATATTTTTATAGCAAAAGGAAAAATAATTGGTTGTCAGCAAAAACATGGATAGAATTTTCCTGCACTAACTTGCTGTTTCCCAAAATTATGTATATAAACAAGTGTAGAATCTTCCAAAGGAAAATTTTACCCTTCGAGGTGGAGCATCCCGTTCAAATTCTACTTGTGGGATTTGAGTCTTTCCTTAACTTTATCATATATACATGTGTATATGCATTCAGATATAAACAATGTGTGTGATGAGATGGGTGGACTATAAACGTGTTTGTAATGTTTCTTATAGAAATCTGTTAATGGAAGGCACAAGCAGAGCATGTTACCAAAAGACCTGACAGTGTATTTACTGGTGATTGTTAGAAAATAATTCTGCCTAGAAGAATTACAGGAAGGTACAACTCTGCTTACATGCATGAGAGTCAAGATTTTGTTATAAGACCATAATATCTTTACTAAGAAACAATTAGAGCAAGGAAAATTATGTAAGAGCAGAAGGTTTTCCTCATGGTTCTTCATACATTTCCTGATATTTTTATAATGCAATTCTACTTGTTGTTGAGACTCTTTTCTGCATTGATTACCCCACTTTAAGCTGCTGTCCTGGAACTCTGAAGACATTGCAGCACAATTATTTATACAACTCTTGTCTGTTCTTTCATATAGTTGCAAAAATCTCCTTTTTCTCTCCAGCGTTTGCACCAATACCGTTTGGAGGAATTTATTTGCCACTTGAAGTTCTGCCAAACAGATGCCATTGCTCACCTCTTGTGCTGGCCTATGATCAGGCCCATTTCTCTGCTCTTGTCTCCATGGAACAAAAAGACCAACAGAGAGAACAAGGTATGCTTTAAACACAGCAGCACTGGCATATATATTGAATACAGTGTACAAAGTATTTTACCTGTAGGTGTATTTATCTATCAGAAAGGAAGCAATACTGAGTAAATTTTATTGCTGCATGTTCAGGAATCTGAGTGGTCTAATCACAAGACAATGGCGCAGTCCATTTCTTCCTTTCTGACAACTGGAAAAATAGCAGCAGAGTGACAGGAACTTCATTTATTTCAGGCACATCTATCTGCCTTCAGTACCCTAGGTCTTAAAAGAGCAATAATGTTACAATAATATTAAATATCCTTCTCGAGGTTAGCAACTGCCTTTCTGTAGGATCTTCCTACACCTGTATTCCCACAGGAAAGGTGGGAATTTCCCACAGGAAAGTTCTCTCACTAGGAGAGAAACCCCTACCACATATCCAGCACAGCGTAAGAAACATTAAATGCTGACTTTCATGTGTAAGTTCATCCAGGTTAATTACAAGGGTCGGTGAATCAAAGTGGTGTTTGTTTTGTGTGACCTGAGTGTACCTCTCTTACTTCAGGGCCTTGAATTCACAGGCTTCAGTTGTGTAGAGCAGCAGAGAGCATTTGGCATTTATTCTGTGATGAAGGGAATGCTGCAACTGCCAAGCTGGTTGCTGTTGGAGACTGCAGCAGTCCAGCAGCGACCACAGCAGTGCCTGGGATTTGCATCTTGTCAGCAGAGCAGCTTTGGCACATGGCAAGGGAGAGCCACAGTGTCAGCAGCAATGGCACAGGGGCCTCAGCACATGGGCAGATTTTGGGCTATCATAATGCAGCTTAGAGCAGCACTTTCTTAGAAGCAGCATCCTGGAGAGCCAGGCCATTCATAACTTGTAGTATTGATGCTCTAACCAGGTGTCAGAAGCAGCATCTGAAGGTGAGCTATTGCAGGGACATACACATGTGTTTTAGCAGCTGCTGAGCTCTCTAGCGGAGGAGACAGTATGTATTTGAGAAATATCTGTGGTCAAATAAACACTGATGTGAATGCCTCAGGTTCTGCTTTGGTATAGAGTCTTGTATCATTTGAAACACTACTATAAATAGACATAAAGAGAAAATATGCTAATATCCCCTTGTCTGGAGAGGATTTAGAACACATTTTGACACTTTTTACACACAGCACACAGCCCCTGGCATTCTGATGGGTGCCAGGGGCCCTCTTGTTTTGAAGTCCACTCTGATTAAAAATGGGTAAATACTTTTATGTTAATGCAGGGTCTACTGTCTTTGTTTATGGAAAACACAGACTAGGTCTCAACTGTCCCTGAGATTGCTTCCTTGGCATTGGTGTTTTCCACACTGCCGTGCTCAGTCTGAGTACCGCTGTGAGAGGTGTGGGAGTGCTCTTGAACAGCACCATGTCAGTCTCTGTGTCATTATTTTATTGTAGTGGCATGTTCAGAAAGAGTTTAAGTGTTGTTCTTTTTAGATGAATAGTGGGATTTGAGGAGTGAGGATGAGAGCTGGGAAGTTCTGTGACTTCCTTCACAGCACAGGAGGCAGCACATCCAGCTAGGAAATGGCAACAGAGTCCTCACTGTGTGACTCAAACTGCCATGGACCAACCAGCGGCTGTTGCTTGTCACTTACACCATCTGCTGGAATTAGGGCTGGTAGACTGCTTGGAGTAGTGCAGTTCCAGCTGGAGACCCACAGCCAAGTGGGACCAACACCAAGCAGAGCTGCAGACCCTGCTGGGTGTCAGGGAAGTGCTGCAGTCTGTGGGGTTTGCTTTAGAAATGAATGGGATGGACCCTGCTTGCAGTTGTGACATAAAAATACTTTTTTGTCAGAAACTTGTGGAAATCTTACATTAAGTCCCAGCTATAAAATAAAGTTCCCAGCTATAAAATAAAGATCCCTGAGAGAGGAAATCTCTTGCACTGAAGACAGAATTTTCCAAGTCCCTTACTTCAGCAGACTTGTATTCCATGAAAACAGCAATGCTTCACATCGGTCTCAGACGATATCTTAGAATGGGGATACAGTCAGCACTCAACTCATTGAACACATTTCTGACACTCAGAATGTGTACAGGAGTTAAGACAACAGTGACATGCTATAGACAATCGGCTCTAAGCTTTATTTTGTACTTAACTTTGTATTTTAATAAAATGGAGTATTGCTAAGCATTTTTAATAGGTATTTTCAGTACCCGTAGAAATAGCAAGCTTTAAAAAGAATTCTTTTAAAATTTGTTTATAAAAAAGTATTTCTTTAACTATGTGGAAACCAGCTAGTTTCAAGCAGCCCATATAGAAGAAAGTCACATTTACTTTTTGAAGTTTCTATCCCAACATCATTGCATGCATTAGGGTAAGGCCTCATATTACACTGGGGAGTGTTAGAAGTGTATTGGTGTGTCGCATCTGCTGTACATTTGTGATGTTCCAATGCCTCAGGACGCTGCTTTGCGTCTGAGACGCATTCATCTGAGTTCACATTCTGAACTGCAGATGTGAGCTCCCTGCCCGTGCGGCCGGAGTTTCCCGGGGGAGCTCCATCCGTGCCGGGCAGTGTTGTGTCCGTTTGCGGGGCGGAGCGCGGCGCTTCCCGGCGCGGCCGGCAGGGGGCAGCCCCCGCGGGATTTGGGCCGCTTTGGGCCTTTCTGGGCGACCCCGGGAGCGGCTGCCGGGGCCAGGGAACAGTGTGGGACCGAAGCGCTGCACCTCCGCTCTGACAGCTCGTGTCTGCTGGACCGCAGAAACGGTTACAAACAGCATGGAACCCCTAGTGCTGTCAGGTTTCAATAAATGAGCGCTACGGTGTTTGGATGGCTTCTCTAGATTTCTTTGCTCTTGGATTGTCTGGAATGAATACCCACAGCAAGTCCTGAAGGGTTCTAGTGCAGAAAGGTAAACGCCTTGATCAGCTTTCAGAGGAGCAGCAGTGACCTGCACCATGCTGAGGATCCTACCCAGGCCCTCAACAGCTTTTACTTGCTTTCCTAATCAAATGGAAGCGAATCAGCGGCTTTAATTAAAACTGTCATCGCTTCATTTCTTAGTCTCTTGCTGGTGATGAATGATAGACGCTCAGTGATATCTGACTGTGGTCCCTGCATGATGAGTATAAAGCAGTCATTAAGAGGCAGAGTCATTAGGGCAGAGCCTGAGCAAAGAGGGGAAAGAGCAGAAGAGCAAAACTGCTGGGCAGCAGTGCTGAGTTGTAAGAACAATAATGGCCTTTGCACTGCACTCACTCAGAGGCCTCAAACTGACCTCTTAGCCCATATATATGTTGATCTCTGCTCTGCAATTATGTTAATTCAGTTTGAATCCAAATCATTGTAACTGACGTTTGCTTGGTTTCTTAATGTTGATATCAATATATTTTTATTTCTTTGACAGTATAAAGGTACTAAACTAAAAAGACAAAATAATTTACAAACATGTGAATCTCCGATTCTGAGAGATAGGCAGGAATATTGCAACATTTTATTGCTTTCTGCTCTTCTAATGACTTTGTCTCCAGGAAATGTTGATTGCACAGTGCAGCACAGGCCGTGTGGCTCTCTCCAGAGGTCTCCCCTCCTCCACAGGTGACTATCGTTCACTCCAGGAGCAATCAGTGTGTTAACCTCTCCCTCTTCTCTTTCATTGCACAAACATGAAAACAGACAAATGGAGCCCAGTATAAATCATTTCTGCTGCTCTGGATGAGGCACATTCTGCAGCATAAATTCTGTCCTTCTTGAAGCAGGGGTTCTGCTTTTCACAGCTGAGTCTTTTCTTCTTTTTGTCATTTTTGTTCCCCCCACCCCAATCCTTGTTTCTTCTCTGCTTCAGCGGTGATCCCACTGACTGACTCTGAACACAAGTTACTGCCTTTGCACTTTGCGGTCGATCCTGGGAAAGACTGGGAGTGGGGAAAAGATGACAATGATAACACCAGACTGGCCAAGTAAGACCTTTCTGTAACTTTGGTGTTAAGCAGTAAAATGTCTTGAGCTGTAGCTGGGAGAACTGCTAACAGCAAGGACTTAGTTCATGAGCTCTGCTTACATGGCAGAAGACATGGGGGGGGTCTTTAGCTGACAATCACAATCAAGCTGCTGTTACATCTCTCCCTGTTATGAACTATTGCTTTTTCTTTCAGGCTTTTTGACTGATTGTTCCCTTTTTTTTTTTTTATCTTTAGTTTGATTCTGTCTCTTGAGGCAAAGCTTAATCTTCTGCACAGCTACATGAATGTAACCTGGATCCGCATCCCATCTGAGACACGGGTAAGGTAAACTTCCTGCTTGGTCCCACAGCGTGGGAGATACAAGGACCAGTAGGATAAGCTGCCTGCAAACACCTTAGTGTCCTGGCATCAGGGACAGTCACTCATGGTCCACTGGTGCCAGTCAGGCTTACAGTTTTTTCTGATTATTTTTTTTAATAACACTGTTGCTTGTATATTTTTTGCTGAAATGTGCCTTCTAGCCTATTATTTTTCTCTTATATAATTCAGTTGTTTGTGTAATTTAAAGAAACCTTTTCTCATCATTGTTTTCTCAGAACTTTGTCTTGCTCTCCTGATGCCACTGTTAGGTCACCAATTTCTTTCTGAGGGTGCATTGGCACCTGTGGACAGCTCCCAGTTTAGAGTGGCTGATGAAAGGCCACAGACTGGCACCGAACTGGAGCCTGCCTCTTCCAGAGAGCTGTTTTAGAACCATGTCCAGCTGGCACTGAGTCAGCTACAAATTTCTCTGCAAATTGCATTGAATAGATGTGGAGGGGTTGGGCCGGAGGCAAAAGGTTGCTAGGAGAGGATGGAGGTGATTTAGACAGCCTACACAGATGGAGTGAGAAACAGAGCACAAAAGGAGAAGGTATTTTAACAATCTGCAAGAGGGGAAAACTCCATTTTCCTATAATTTCTACAGCAGTAGCTACCACATCAGAAAAAGGAGAGTCAAAATGGTCCTGCAGTTGTAAGTGGTGAGCCCTTGTGGAATGTGGGTTACCTCTCCCTGCTCACATTTGCTGCATGAGCACAGTCAGGTCACTGTGGCACTTTCCCCTCTGCTCAGTGGGAATAACGCCTCTGCTCCCAGCTGGGTGTTGGGGTGCTCAGCGCTTCCTGGGAGAGAGGACACGTAAGTACCCAAGGACAGAGACAGGCAGTATTTCTATATCAGAGGTATATAAATTTACAGAGCTTACCCCTCCCCATGTCCTTGCAGTCAGTTGAGTGTTTCAGATTTCTCTCTAGCAGATTTTAGCTTCAAGGTACCTGAAAGCAAGGCTGTTCTGGAGGAGTACATGAACAGAGTCCTGTTTTAAAGTACCCTAGGATCCATGTTATTGTATTTTCATGGAATGTGTTTCATCATGTTACCTAAAATATAAAGTGGACCTCAGACTTGTGACCAGTTTTATCTGCATTGCCTTTCCAATAAACATGACTACACATAATTGAATTCCTCAGCCTACTTGCTTGAGTTTAATGTCTAATATTTCAAATGAGATGTTTAGCTCTGGTGCATGGTACCTTTGACTTTCATGCACTAGAGACCTAAATAAATAAAAAGGTCAATTTAAATAAAGCTGGGTTTTGAACATAATCAATTTTGAAATGCTGCTGCTGCACACAGGTTTGTGTGCTGTATCCCCCTCAGAGCTTTCAGCAGCAGCTCATTCCCCTTCCATTGCATCCTCCCCAGCTCCTTTCCCATGGGCTGAGGGAGAGTCTGCACCCTGTCCTGGCTCACTGGGGCAGGAGGGGACTCACTTCCCCCATGACTCAGGCACTGACTTCCCCAGAGCCTCTGAGTGATGGCCTCTGTTCTACAAATGTGCCTGAAATGAGCCAGAAGCTACTGTAGGAACAAGCAAAATACGTAGTAAGCACAGCCAGAAAAAGCCAGAAAAGCTTTATTTAGTGATGAAATCAGTCAAAAATGTCAGTGCATAAATTAAAAAGTATATTTAAAATCAGTGTCAAAATCCACACTGAATTTGGGGTGGGTATTTTTGCATCAGTTCCTGTATGAAACAGATTTGGCTGTATCTAATTATAATTCCTTTTCCATAGCAGGCCCCTTTGGCTCAACCAGAATCCCCTACAGCTTCCGCTGGAGAAGACGTGCAGTCTCTGGCTGACTCAATGGACTCAGACCGAGATTCCATCTGTAGTAATTCCAATGGCAATAACGGCAAAAACAGTAAAGAAAAAGAAAAGGACAAACAAAGGAAAGATAAAGACAAAACCAGGACGGATTCAGTTGCCAATAAAATAGGAAGCCTCAGTAAAACCCTGGGAATTAAACTGAAAAAGAACATGGGTGGTCTTGGAGGTCTGGTGCACGGGAAGATGAGCAGAGCCAATTCAGGGAATGGGAAGAACGGTGACACAGTAGAGAAGGTCAAAGAGAAGAAGTCCAAGTCTCGCAAAGGGAGCAAAGAGGAATCTGGACAGTCTGCAAGCACATCTCCCTCTGAAAAGACCACTCCATCGCCGACTGACAGAGCCAGCAGCTCCCCCACTGAAAAGGTGAACACTAAACCTTTCTCTGACAAGCAGGCTGACCCATGGAAGTACAGCACAGACGTGAAACTCAGCCTAAATATTTTGAGAGCTGCCATGCAGGGTGAACGAAAGTTTATTTTTGCTGGCCTTCTCTTGACCAGTCACAGGCATCAGTTCCACGAGGAGATGATCGGCTATTACCTGACCAGTGCCCAGGAGCGCTTCAATGCAGAACAGGAGCAGAAAAGGAAGGAAGCTGAGAAAAAGGCTGCGCTGAATGGCTCCTCTAGTAGGAAACTGGAGCCAGAAGCATTTTCAAAAGAAAAATTAGAACCATCTCCTCAGGATAGGGCATCACCTGTCTTGCCTCAAAGCCATACAACTCAACTGGTTTTAAAATTTAAAGACCGCACTAGTCCCACTCCCGGCTCCTTTTCTTCACCCAGCAACGGTGCCAAGAGAAGCGGCCCCATCCCTGTGTCTGCCCACTATAGCCATACTCCCCCTGTTCAAAGGCAAAGTGTCATCCATTTGCATGACGTCAACTCCAAGCCATCGAGCTTCCAGGACGATACCTACAAGCCAGTGGTTGGCACCCTGAAAACCTGCGCCACCTACCCCCAGCAGAACAGATCCCTGTCCTCGCAGAGCTACAGCCCCGCGCGCCTGCCCGGGATGCGCACGGTGAACACGGTGGAGTCGCTGAGCTACGCCAGGCCGGCCGAACACAAGTCCCAGACCTACACGAACGGCTTCAACACCGGGGACATCAGAGACTGCTTAGAGTACGCTGATGAGGATGCTCCTCAGACCTGGCTGAACAATGACAAAAACCAAGGCAGAAGCACAGTTTGCCCAATATATTCCATCCAGCAGAACCGCTGTAAGAAGGAGAACTGTTCCTTTTATGGTCGTCCTGAGACTGAAAATTACTGTTCCTACTGCTACAAAGAGGAGTTAAAGCGCAGGGAGAGGGACAGCAAGGGACACAGGCATTGAGGATTCTTCCATGACTAATTAGTTTTACCGTTTTCTTACTTACAAAGTAAACAGTGTTGGATTGCAGTAAAATGAATCCTGAAAAAAAGAATAAAGGATTGATGAGTAAATAGTGTCTAGCTCTTCGCTTTTCCAGGGCATTGAGGAAATAATAGGAATAAGTTATCATAAAAAAATATATTATTTTCCATTTTTGTCAGTGTCTTTTTTACATATACTGGTAAGCTGAAGGGTTGTTTACTCCTTTGTCAGTGCTGTGTATATGTTTGGTCAAAAATTTACTAATGGTGCCTGAATTTACACTGACATCACTCAGGTAGTAGAATGATAGGTGAAAGTCATACTAGTGAAGATGTGGTATTGTAGTAGGGTAGTATCTGCCTTGCAGACATTTGAAATGATATAGCTATTATTGAGAATATTTTTTCCTCAGTAAAACCTAAATTTTTCATAGTCTTTTTTTTCAGGAGGGTAGTGATTTTTGCATACTGTATATTTTTAACATGGCAGCATATTGCATTGCTACTAACATTTGTATATTTCAGTCTGGAATTGAATGATTCTGGAAAAATGTGAGTGAAAGGTCTGAATTCATGAGGGCTGTAGCTCATCCTAATTTTAAGTTTTTACCAATTATTTCTAAATTTTCATTTAAAAAAAAAAGTAAATTTGAGCCACTTTTATTTGCACTGAGTTTTTATATAGGTTTTATAAGAAAATTCAATTACTTCATGTCCCCAAGCCCCCCCCCCAGTATAGTTTTGCACACCTGAATTTCAGAAGAATTTTTGTTGATGTTAAAATACAAAAAAATATTAAAATAAAATTAAGATTAAAAAAATTATTAGATATGGAAAATTTGATGACCAGCTAGGAAATGTAGGATCATTTTAGACTCAAACTGCTTGCCAAAACCAATGTAATCCATCAATTTATTCCCTTAGCTACTGTAAAAACCTAATCATTATTTACTTATTCCTTCTGAACATTATTGAGTGATAATTATTGCAAATGTAACTACTTGAGCCTTTCTTGAAGACTGTTGGCTCCACCTCTTTTCAAGTCTTCTCCTAGAGTGAGTCATCTCCTCCCCAGGAGGCTCCCAGATGGCTGTAAAATGCCTCCAGCAGGAATGGCAGCTCCTAGCACAGATTTGCACAAGTCTGAGATCCAAATATTTACGTAAGTGTTTGCAATACTTTTGAAAATAAAACTTTGCTCACAGAAACATTTCTGCAAAGCAGACACCGCAGATACTGTTGAAGTAGATGGATGACACGAGGAGGTTTTCTGGGATACAGCAGTGGGTTTGCACCCCGCCACCATCAGCTGTCAGAGTGCAGTAACAGGAGCTCTTTGGTGTTGTTACCCTTGAAAACATTTTAAGCTCATTTTAAGAGCTAATTTTGCATAACAGGTGAAGTACTACCTTCAGGGCTGCTGACTCTGCCACCTCAAGGTGCAGACCGGGAGTTCTGCCTTCCTCATTAGGGAATAACATTTTTCTGGCCCACACAGGAAAGATTCTTTGCCAAAGAGTCTTGGTTTCTGATTATTTTCCTGCTGCAGCCCAATTTTAATTCTTGATACGGGCGGCACCGTTGCATACAGTTAATCCTGACTGACCCTGAAACCAAGCCTGAAGTCCCCTGTGAAACAAGATGCACAAACTTCTGCTGCTGTGTCCTGGCTTTCAGAAAAAGCACGTGAGCTTTTTCCGGAATTGGTAGAACTGAGCACATACTTAAAATTGACCATATTTTTAGATTTTCTGCTAGATGAGAGGTTTCAAAACAAGTCCCTTGGTCACTTCTTTATAAAATTAGGGTCTTTGCCATGTTAGCTGTTCCATGAATCCAGACCTGTACTTCGTATTCCTTGCTGTATACTGAGCATACACTGAACCTTACTGAACTTGCATTCCTTCATGGAAGGGAAATGTTGGTATTTGTTAAAGCTCGGTGTGACTTCTGTCCTTAAGGTAAGCACCTTCCAAATCCCGTGTTTCCTGTTGCATACACTGGTAAGCAGTGTCCTGTTTGGCTTTGCTGTTGTGATTATTATATTTAAGTTCTAATTGTCAAAGAAAACTGGGATTGCAAATAATGCTAAAATGAGCCAGACCATGTTAAAAGAAATGAAATATTATACTTGATTGTATTTGCTGCTGAGACTGAGAAAACTGGCAGGATAAAACTTCAAGAAAAAACAGAAATATTTAAGAATTCTTAGGGCATTAGAGTAGCAGTAGTGTGTGATTCTCTAAGAGTCATTTCTGTGTAAAGCTGTGCTTAAGAAATACTGCATTAGCATCAAAACACACAAGTCCTTGCATTTGAGTTACATCCTTTCCAAATGAGGAAGAAAGCAGTACATATGTAAAAATAAGTAATTACTGTGAGATTTTGCTGTTTCCCATTTTCATAGGATTTGTTTCTCTAGTATGTTTTAAGATCTTCTCATTAAAGAAAGAGATTTACAATTGGTCAGCATTTAGGTAAAGGACTCTGTTCTGAATTATTGAATACATTGTACTTGTGCATTAGATTATTTTGAAAAATTAATTGGCCTTGTCTGTATAGGATCCCAAACCTGTGAGTATTCATTATCATCCTCAGGACACTCAGATATTGCCATAAGTATTTACCTATACAGGATTTCTCACTTTAAAATACCTGTTGTATGAAATACTGACAGAACCCTTTTTAGTTGTGCCTATTTCCTTAGAATCTTTTTGTTGGCATATCTTTGAATAATTGTCTAATTACTGTTTTCATTTAGAATTCTCTTCAGACATTCTTTCTATTTCTGGGCTATTTGTGGCAGCTGTGCCATAGCTGTCATTAATCAGACCAAACATGCAGAAAGTGTGTCCCCTCCTGAAGTGTTGTTCCATTAGAAGAAGACTGTAGCTATAGAAGAAAATTTTCTACCTATTTTTTTAGAGAGAATTCCCAACTGCTCATGGGTTGCGTTCACCAGTACTGGAAGACATCGTGCCATTCCTTAGCTGGAGGTAATTACCTTCATATGTATTTTTCTGTTGTACTGTGTGCTAGCCTCTGAGTGCTCTTTTGGGTTATTTTTCCTGACAGTTGGAATTGGTGTTTGCAGCCCACTGGCCAGCCAGCTCTGTGCCTAATACGTTCTCTCTACACCTCCAGAGCTGTAGTGTTCCCACATAGTCCCAGATGTGGAGAAATCAGCTTTGCTTTGGAGGGATCCTACTCATTGCTTCTGTTAGCAATGCACACAGATGTTTTTGCATTTGTGTGTGCTTTTTTCCCCCTCTCCTGTTGATAGTGATTCAACATCTGTCACTGTAGTCCAGATTTCAGAAGTACGGAGTAAATTCTGGGTAGGCTACACCTTCCCAGAATGGATCCAAAATCACCAGGAGATATTTAGGTTGGCGGAAGCTGCAATTCTTTTAAAGTGTGAATGTGCAATTTTTCTAATTTAAAAAAGGCTTAAACCTATTATGCAAATTTTTTTTACCTTGTTCTAAACTCTGCTGCAAAGGTCAGTTTGTAACAGAGGATACCTGTGATACATAATGGGTTTCAGTCATGCTTTATATTAAAGTTTCATTTTAAATTATTTATACAGAGTTAATAAACCACTAATTGTTAGAGTTTACAAATATATTTTCAGAGGTGGGTATCAGTTGTAGCATATAGCTAACAAGAAGCTCATTCAGAAGAAGGTTTTGTAGATAATCAAAAGTAACTTCAGATTTTGGATTTTAAACCAATTGGTGAACCTTTTGTTCTATAAGTGCAATGGCAGTATTGTCCCAGCTTTCTTTAGCAATTAGTTGCTTCTTCCTAAATCAAAGGTAACATGAGGAGCATCAGTAAAAGAAAGACGCTGTACTTGAAAACTTGAACTTGTTTTGTGTTGCCTGTGTCCTAAGATGTCTAAGCAGGCCAAGTGGAGCGTTCAGTGGTGTTTGTGGAGCTGAGAGCTGAGGTGTGAGCAGTGGAGCGTGGCCCAGAGAGCGCTGAGGACGCACAGGACCTGTGTCCACGCGGCTGCCTGCGCCGCTCCTCGCACACGGGCACGTGCAGGGCATCTGCTCAGGTGATGAACGTGTAGATATCAAAACATGCACAGCAGCACAGAGCTGACAAAATAATGCCCTCCACCTCCCCAGTTCTGAAACAGCTCCACTGGTGCTCACCTTCACCCATGTGAATGGTCTCCCTGACAGTGAGTAGACCACGTACCTTCAGAAACTTTCAGCAAATGTTAAAGAACAAGTGCTTCTGATCAAGGCCTAAGCCTTTGGCAGTGTCTGTTCCCCACAGGCTGCCTACTTACTCTTCCAAGGAGACAATGGATGAGAATTCTGCCTGAGGAGTAAAGAGAAGCCTTGGGCCTCTTTGGGCTTCATTTGCTGTCTTTTGCAGTGTGTGGACAGAATCCCATCAGTAGTGGGGGGGCCTTAAATCAGGTGCTCCATTGACATGTAAAATACTGCAAACTGAGCAGGGAAGTAAAGTACAAGCTAGTAAGGCAGTAAGGTCTTCATAACACTGTGAGTGTTTTGCACAGGTGAGAACCCATATGTTCATAGAAACCACAATGATCTCAGATAAACATAAGTCCAGAGAAGCAAAATAACTGATGCTGATTGTAGATGGCTTTTCAGCTTAGTGTATCTTAAGTCTCTGTCAGTGTATTTGAAGAGTATTTGTTTTAGGGAATGGCAGCTTATGCGGAGGATCACCAAACTATAGCATAGAAATGAAATTATTTCAATAACAGACACTAATATCTATTTTAATTTGCACATAGATTTCCAGTGTATATGACTAAAATATTATATTGTTAAAAATGAGAGGAAGACAACACAAAGGTGTTTGTAAGTATGTTCTATTTGTAGACTTAAGGCTGTATTATGTTGGAATTTTACAAGCCAAGTTTAAATTGTAATATAGAAATTATTTTTATATTATTTTCAAAATACGCTACAGAGCAATATTTTGCGCCTTTATTATAAACAGGGTCATCATTTTAGTAGGTTACTTTCAGAAATGCTGGTAGAAATTAACCATGAAAAGAAAGCTTTGTAAATGTACTTGTTTCTAACTGCTCTGTCT